GTGTGTGTGTGTGTGTGTGTGTGTGTGTGTGTGTGTGTGTGTGTGTGGAAAGCGCACTTTTATAAAACTCTCAACCTCGTGAACTTTTATTCTACTGCATCCTCGCCCCGAATATCTGAGGAGGCGTCCTGTCTCCTGGCCATAGCTGGCTATGGCTGATCGATGGTGCTGTGGTGGTTATTGAGTGCGTCTCTCCAGCAGTCGAAGGAGGGCAGACTCGCCATACAGTTCTGTATATCGAGTGTGTGTTTGTTCCTGCCTTAGACGCTGTCCTCAAAGCTTCATTAAAGGATGCACTCTGAAAGGTCAACTCAATTACAGCCTCCTGTCAGGGAGAGGAGGGGCCGCTGAGGAGGTGGTTGGCATGGCAATGCTGCTACTTAGCGGTGCCCCCCCCACACACACACTCACACACTCAGTCCCTCCTTCAGAGATGAGAGCGCCTCCTTGTTTCCTAAGCTCATCAATAAAATCAGCCACTACACTAAGAAGCTCGCTGTGGTTGGAGTTTGAGCAAATGATGGGATTTTGCATGTTTTAATCTGAGTGTTGATCTCTTTGTCGTGACAGCGGCCCGGTGCCAGTGCTCGTGATGAGTCTGCTCTTCATCGCTTCGGTCTTCATGCTGCACATCTGGGGGAAGTACACCCGCTCTTAAACTCTACCTGATGACCTCTGACCCTGTGGCTTGGCTTCTTAACATATTGGACCTGGACCAAACAACAACCACCGTACTCCCCTGGTTCCCTTCTGAACTATCAACAACAAACAACTTGATTTTTATTTTTTATGCGACTGATTCAGTACACGATCTTCATCTGCACAGATGTTGGTATCCACCTTGTTGCTGTTGCCCTGCCTGTATTTTTAAAATCTGAAGGGGTGAACGGGAGGAAGCCATGCTAGCTCACCACTGATGTAATGTCTGTGTGTGTGTGTGTGTGTGTCTCTCCCTCCAAGCAGCACGTTCCCGCCACTGCTGCATGAAGGTTCACTGCAGTACTCAAGGACATTGTTGTTTTCAGGCCCCAGAAAACATTTCCTCTTGTAGCCTGAATTTCATTTTTTTTTTTTGTTAACAGCATTTGTACAAATGTAATTGTAATATTGTACAATAAAAAAGTAAAAATCAATGTTTGTGTTGAAATTGACCTGTGTGCTCTGAAATAATAACCCAGTTTTGTGTTTGAAAAAGAGTGTTTAATGAGAAAAGATGTTCCTCAAACATATTTTCAGTGACATGAGGCAGCATTCTCACTCTGAACCTTCTGTAACCACGACCAGACTTTTGAAAGCTCGACATTTTGCCAAAAGGCATTTATGAACCTGTTTCAATGAAAATGCTTTAAGGCAGAACAGGATTATTAAGAGAACCACTGTAGTGTGATTGACAGTTCACCTAATTAAGGCTTAAACACATTCAAGCTACCCTTATTTGACTGAGGTTTCGGCCATAACTCACTTTTTTAATATTTTCAATCTTAAATGGCACTGAAAACCCCGTTGTTTAATCAATCTTCATTGTCATAAATATGTCGTCATATGGTTCAACAAGGCTACACATCACAAATGCATCTAATCTGACACCAGCTGATTTAAAATAAGTGATTGACAGGATGAAAGTGTTCAAAGGCATCAGCCTCCAACATGAGCTTCCCCAGGGTTTGTCCTCACCACCCGTACTGAAGATTTTTGTCTGCCGCTCCAATTGTTGACAGGCAAAATTAGTTTTTGAAAAGTGTCAAGTCTTCATGTTTCAGTAATACCAGAAGGTAAACGAGATGCAGGAATTGTATGGCTTTTGTCTGATGATCTACATACATACTGTTACATACTGTTTATTAGTTTGTCCTATTTTACATGAATGTCCATTTAAATCTGGTGCTTCTAGGAGAATAGACCATAACAATCAGTTGAGGGAAAGTATATACCTGCATATATCCAAAGCACAATAATACTTTTTGTTTAATCACTCTGAAAAATATTTAATCAATAAGTTGTTATTGTGTGTTGTTTGAGCCAAAAAAAAAGGCTTTCTAATTTGTGTTGTTGAGAAAGAAATACTGCATTTAGGTTTTCCTGTAAATTCACCGAAAGGCCCTTTTCTGTCTTTTCCTGAGGGGGGCGCTACAGACTATTATCTGAAGAGCCCTGGCTCAGAGAATATAAAGATATAACTCTGTCCTCACTGAGGGAGGGCATGAACACGTGTGTGGTGATTTTCTCCTTTTCACCTTGTCACATCATCATGATCGTATGTAACGTGTTTGTATCAATGGTGTATCCACGTGTGTGCGTGTGACACCCAAAGAGACAGCTGGCGCACCGAAAAATCAGATGCAGAATTAATTATTAGTTATGGCTATACTAAAGATTTTTAAAAACTATTATGGTAAATTCTAACAGTTACTTTTTCAATTAATTTGAAATAGTTTTCTTCAACAAACAACCATCCACCGTCATGCAGAATGTATAGCCACACAACATCTGTTTGATACTCAAATGTTTCATAACCAGACTGTTGAGTTAAATCTATTTAGATGAAAATCAATATAAATGAGCTGAGTGGAACAAAAGTAAATCAGATTAAGATTTGATTTGATTTGTCCGCATGAAGTTAAACAGTGTGAAACCGTAAGAACAATTTCTGACATGCTCAGTATAATGCTGTGAGCTGCTGGCTGAGAGTTGTAGAAGCAGTTTTGGCCCAACCTGCATCACCAGGTTACCTGTGTTGAATATAAAATCACCAGCAGGCTTCAACCTGTGCGTGTGTGCTTGTGTCCTTGTATGCGTGTGTGTCTGTGTGTGTGTGTGTGTGTGTGTGTGTGTGTGTGTGTGTGTGTGTGTGGGCGTGCTTGTACCTAGTGTTAAACGTAGCATTCTGATCCTGTTCATTAATTCATTCTGTTGCTATGGCTCTGCTTTCCCACAGGCTTCCAGTGTTCGTGGCAAACTCGGGCACTACTGCCACATCACTCTCCCTGTCGTCCCTGTCCTACACACAGACACACAGACACACAGACACACACACACACACACACACACACACACACACACACACACTCACTCACAAACTCTGAGGCCCAATTCATGGTGGCACAACACGGCAGTGAGCCAGAATAATTTAACAGAACAATTAAATATGAAAGAGCCGTGGTGAAGCTGTCCCTCAGTGTTCAGGAGTTAAACAGGCCCAGGCAGCACGAGGAGCGCTCCACACTGCTGCCTGCAACCTGTAGTTACAAACTCCTCTTGACACTGTCTATACAAGTCATCTTAGTGTTTCATCAAGGGGTAGAAATGAGGTAGAATTTTTATTTTTTTAACGCTGGGACCAGGGTCCTTAGTCTTTGTGTTGACTGACAGACACATCAATACCGCTCTTAATACATATTTTACACCGGTGTTTCCCCAGTTTGTGCTTGTTGTTTTTTTAGATATGTAGAATTAGTTTTTTGCAGTTGATTGCACACACCTAGTATAAATATTAGTGGGGTGACTGCTGGATTTTGTCCTAAGGAAGGCAGTCTGCCAAACTATTGATCTATAGAAGTCACAGTTAGTGTGCAACTTTCTTTGTTGCAAGAAAGCAAAAAGATATTTCATCAATGTGCATGTTGGGTGACCAGACAAGCGAAGCCTATATCTCTCTAGTCTACACTAAACATGAGAAGTTTGTCTCGTGGAAAGAAAGAACGGAGTGACAGATGGAAGGAGAGAGAAAGAAAAGAAGAGAAGCTTTCTTCAGAGTGCTTCCTCTCTGTGTCTTTTTCACCAGAAACCCATATCCTGTGAAGAAACCACACGCTTTTACAAGGGATGGTCCCTTACATAGAGAGAGTTGAGCACGCACATGTGCACACACACACACACACACACTTGAGGAGAATTGTAAATAGGTCACATGTATTTTCTGTTCAAGACATGCTGCTCTGTGATTTTTACATGGAGGAAAAAGAAACTGTTTAAGTAAGTCTCTTTCGCTCTCCATTGCTACATCACTACATCACTCATCCATCACACATGTGTTCATGCTGACTGTCCCACCCTGCAGGTAAACGCAGCTATCGGGATATCAGGTGCAGCAGAGGGTTTATAACTTAAAACTCTCCTTTCCTTTCAAAGACTGCGCAGAATATTCCATCTTTAAATGAGTGTGAGGGCCCAGTCATGCACGCACGAATGTCAAGTATGTGTGTGTATTTTTGAACAGATCACATGGTTGGTAAAGCGTGGAATAAATCGTCAGGTGGGTGGAATCGATCCACGCTCACCGACCAAGCGAATCCTGAGGGATGTCCCAAGAAAATAAAGGCTGGTTAAGGGGATACAGGGACACCTGTCTCAAGATCTACACAGCGAAATTACATAAAAGCTGTACGCAGACCCATCAGCGTGATCTGTTCAACGACACATGGAGTAGTACGCAGGTATTGGCAGTGGTGAAATAAGTATTCAGCTCGTAGTATTAAGTCAATTCAAAATAGTTCATTTATTGAAATAATTATGGATTTTGAAGGTACATAGAATAAAATGTGCAAATTAATGTGCGTTTTCTGTATGCTTTTTTTAGTTGTACGTTTATTACTTTAAAAAAGCAGTTCTTCACAAAAATGATCTCTACTTTTACTTTTAATGGACTGGAGTTGCATAAAACTTTGTTATTGTAAACTTTACTTTGTTAATATTCTGTCCTATTCACGACTCTATTAACTATATATAGTACCTTAATGCTACCGAAGGAGGATCAGACTGTTGAATAATACATGTTTAAATATTTTACATTCTCTCTCACTCTATGTATGTGAGTGTGTGTTCATGTTGACTCGTCGCTGTGATCATAAGACCAGATCAGTAGCATGACAGCCAATTGGTGCAACACTCTGCTAATGGCCAGTGATCAGCAGGTCTGCTGAGAGGTGAGAGCTTGTTCACTGTAAAATAATCTGACTCCATATTTTGCATCCAGACCACATGGTCTCTGTTATATGAACTGTTCGGGTCACGAGGGTCGGAGGGAGCTGTGACACAGAGAGAGAATTTGTGAATGTGTATTTGTGTGTGTGTGTGTGTGTGTGTGTGTGTGTGTGTGTGTGTGTGTGAGAGAGAGAGAGAGAGTGTGTGTGCCAGCTGGAGGCTCCCTGATCTTTCTGGTATCTCCTTCAGAGAGAAATAAGAGAGTCAGAGTCTGAGCCAAGACTGATTCTGCATCTATCAGTACCTCGTCTCTTGCTCTCTAATCCTCTATGTGTCACACACTCACTTTGTGTTTAGCATGAAAGATGAACAGTGTGAAGCCCATTCACCCTGCATGAAGGTGGAACTGTTATAGGAAACAGAAAACCAAAAAACGACTTGTTATTTCTACTAACTTCTGTTGCATCTGTCAGAGTTAGAACTATTAGTTGTAGTGACACGGACATGACTGTTTATTGTGTCTTTGGAGACATTATTTAAACATATTAGGTTTGTATTTTTTATCTCCGGTACTTTAACACAAGTAGCTTCATTGATGAATATACTGTTCATCAATATCAAAGATCAAATTCTCAGTTCTGAGATTAAGTATTTAAACAAGGTATGCCTACACTCTGGCCATTCACAACCAAAATACCTAAATTACACCCAACCAAACAGATTAATTAGTTTTAGATATTATCCAATAAGATATTATCCAATAAGCAGTGAAGTATCTTCTGAATTGTTGTATGAAAAATATATGCAAATACGAAAAGCATAATTTCGAACTACATTTAAATGTCTTTTTGTATACTAATCAATTAGAACATATAAAGGAATCCTAATAAAGATAAACGTTTTTCATAAACAAATGCATGGGATCAAGTGCAATACATTGAGATAAGAAGAATATCAGAGCTCAACGGACATAGAGGGGAAAAAAGAAAGAAATGTATCAACAGAAATCTGACAGTTGTTTAAAAATAGTCAATAGACAAGTTAAATAGAAATGGAAAGTGAGATCTTGAAGAAGGATATGGCTCCAACAGTTAAGGTTAAAAGAACAAAGGAAAGAAAACAAATATCCAAAGAGTTGAAAAAAATAGAGGTTGAGCACAAGCAAGAGGTACAACAAAG